ATTATATGTCATTAAATTTTAATTTATTATATTCTCGAATGCATTATTTCACAATCAGTGCATTTATGAATAATTCCTATGATAACCGACAACTGTAGAATGAGTTTACGTGGACCGGTAGTCCGCTGCGGCGCCGTATAATAATACTATATTATGATACATTATTATTATTATTTTTATTTACAGCATAATATAATATTATGATTGAGTAGTGATGCAGTAGTCAAATTGGTTTTATTTATTTTATCTGTATGACGTATGTGCTACACGAGTACGTATTAAAGAGTTGTCGTGTTGAAGTTCAGTAGTTGTAGAATACGTTGAGAAATTTAGAAAATAAATATAATAATATAATGGTGTATGCCATATTGAAATTGAGTGTATACTGCAACATAAATAATGTAAATAGTGTAATAATGTATATAATAAATAGTTTTTTTTATAACATATTATGGCCATTGGGTATGATAATTCTCTATTTTTGAGCTCGATCAGATATGCCTGATATTGTTGAATTTCATACGCCATGTCCACAACACAAATCGTATGCTATGTAGCTTAATAATAATTATTAATTTATTATTTTAATATACATCTACAATATTATTACGACACTGAGCTTTAAATGTTGTCTGAAAATAGTGCAATGCCCCTAAGTATCAGATTCCAATTATATGTTATTATTTTTAGTTTTCGAAATTATTTTATAAATTGGTCACAACATAATATTATATTGAATATTAGAATGATTACTAGATTACGACGACAGATATTCATTTAAATGGGCAATAAATTATAGTACCTCGTACAAATACAGTATAGGTACTATAAAAATTATAATAATTAGTTTGGGTTTTTACGAGAGGGTGAGCTGATATAATATTGTTATTTAGTGTCATTATCTATATTGAGTAAGTACTAACTATTAGGTACGTGCCACGCACCGCAATAATTATTATAATACATTAAATAAAAGACAACCAAGCAGTATTTATGAGAGAACTGTAAAGAGGGACGATTGTCAATATTTTTTTTTAAATTTAATTTTAAATGTTTAACAATTAAAATAGGTGCGTTTTTTGTATTAATTATATTCAAATAAGATTTATTTTGAGATTAATTACATGGAAAGACGCGATACTACAAAATTAAAAATTATAACAAATTTCGGTATTATAGTTATTTAAAAACTAATAATTAAAAATTTTACATAAACATTTATCAATTTTCTTAACATTAGATTATTTTGGAGATGAATGTAATTATTAACTAGGTATATATTTCTATAAACGCTTTACCAGGGTTAAAATTTACTTGTGCATGTAAAAATAATACTATTATTAATTTATTGGAAAATATGATGCAATCCGGAAATACAACTTTATAAATTTAATTTAATTAATTTAAGAAATGAGAACCTATTAATATGAAAATAAAATAATAATAAATTAATGGGAAATAAAATAATCTCGAAATTAATATACCAAGTTGAAATATGTAAATAATATCATGTGCGTAAATTCGGAATATTTTTTAGTGTTAAAAATTTGAAACACAATATTATACATATTAAATATTATTATCACTCACGTAACTTCTAGTTTAACGTAACCTTGACCTAAAAATATATCACATAATAAATTATACAGACAATAATTAAATTTTATGTATCATGTTGTACATTATTGACTATTATACAAAAGTTTTATATTTACATTTAAATTTTTGTCAAGCATAAATTATTGGTGACGAATAATATTTGTACGGATAACATTACGGAAGTACTATTTTCGTACAATACAGTATACACTGGGTATAACATTTTATATTATTCCGGCTAGCAGCAGGTTAGGTTATGTAGCCGTGCAAGTGAGGTAATATTAATATTTAATATTATATATTATAGTCACTATCAACAAGTACAATAACCTGCGTGTGTTAGTGTAAATATTTCAGAGAACCTTTAACGTCAAAAGGGCGAGCCCAAATGTGTATTTTATGTAGGTAGTAGGTACCATTAATATTATTTAACATTTTTGAAATGTGTGTAAAATATGTGAAAATATTTGTAAATAATCCAAAAGATTATCAAGGGTTGACGACAACAAACTACAAAGAGACACTCTGAGTGTACATATTTTACATACTAATGGAAAAGACACAGTAATAATAATAATAATGATAATATTGAGACGGCCACACTGGCGATTTTTTTTACTGTGTTGCTTGATGCGTAAAATAGTTAGAATTAATAAGAGTACAAAAGGAATCCTTTTAAGGAGACGAAACAGCCTGTGAGATATGAAAAGGAGATTAAAATATGTTCAAACCACGGTGCCTGTATGGAATTTTTTTTAGCCATGTGTGCTTATATTGTGCTTTATTCGGAATTTTATACACACACAATTTTGGCCACACACAGGCATTTTTATCAACAGGAAAAGTTTCATTAAAACACTATCTCACCGCGGCATTAAAATTTAAAAGTAAAACTAGACATTTATCATCATTTTATTCATATAGGTTGATGAATATTACGACATTATACATGTTCAAATGTGCGACTGCTTACATATTTTTAAGTTTTTGACCTCTGTCTTGCACTCTAGTGACAGTGTACTTCAACTGTCTCAATTATAAACGCTATGAAGTATGAATTTATTATCGTAACAGAGTTACCGAGTGTAAAAAAGTACTAACTACAAATCGACACGTCGTAATTCAGTGGCAGCGTTGGCGCCGGGGTGGGCCATTTAACGTCTCGGTCCCGAAACTGGCGCGTCCCTATTTATCTTATTGCATGGTTGGAAAAATAACTGTTATTTTTTAATATGAATAACACTATAGTTATTGACTATTGTAAAGTATAATCGTATGAAAAAATACCTGTCGGCTAAAACACAAAATGACATTAATATTGTAGTTTGTACACAATTTGTGTACGTTTTTATTTCGGTACAGTAAATATTAATTAAAAATATTTTTGTTTGTTCCGTATATCTGTATTCTTCACTAGTTTATATTATAATGTGGATATATTTTCATTATTAATATATTGCAGCAGATTTTAGCAATCAGAGTTTAATACTAGAAGTTTGAGGCTCGCCACATCGGGTATCCACCGCGGCTTGGAAAGTATGAAATGTTATTGTAGATATTTGTATTTATTATTGTTGCACACTTACCACTGGTCATATCTGTCACGTGTAATACGCTGCGCGTATAGTTGAAAGCAGCGGAAAGCTCCGAAATAAAAGTGCATAAAATTTGGTAAAGTATTATTCAAATATGTTATGAACAGTGTTGTTAAATGATACAAACTATAATTATTAAATATTTTGATCTACGATCGGCTCGTATCACTCAAGGTCGGTTTATTATCAAAAATTAAACCGGAACCAGGAACACTGTACAATATCGTTTCCAATTTGTAAATAATTTGCACGTAATAATAGTAATGATAATAATTACAACAACGACAATAGTAAAAAAGTTGTAGTAGCATAAAAACATTATGTCAATATTATTTCGTTTTGTGGACATATTTGTTTTTTTAACTTTTACATTTTTTAGTATCTGTTCGTAAATCAATATATTGCAAATGTGATGATACACATGTGTTTGATAAAAGATAAAGAAAAAAAGACACGATTCACAGAACAAAGAAACCTGGTGAATTGTTGGGGAATAATTATTTGAGTGTTACAACCTACGGCCGAAAATTCAACCATTGAAATAGGAGAAGCAAATTTACTATCTTGTTTTCTGAGGATGCTTTTTTTCATTTATCGAATTCATACTGAGACCCGTATCACAGTGGCGTAGACGGGAATTGTCATGCTGGGAATTGTCATCCACCATACTACCCCCAAGTATACGTCATGAGTACGCTTGAGTATCATAGGTACTACATCGATAAATTTAACGTTTTTCGATTTAAGTCATTCATTTAAGTTCGTACGCGACGGTTTGAAGCCAAACCCGCGCATCGTGTCGTCGTCGCATATGAACTTAAATAATGGAAATCAAAAAACACACTTACCAAACGCGTGGCTATGGAACGGGCTTTAGGTAATAGTACATTTCATTATTATCCGTTTTATTTAACCGCTTCATTCATTTTAACGGACATCAGAAAAAAGGATTGTGTAAAAGAGGCCTACTCAGCTCCATAGAGGTAGAACTTCACTACAGTCCGCAGTACTCGAGCGGTGCGAAACATACAATTAATACAATAATACAAGACACACGAATCAACTCGATCAACGTGTCCGAAAACTGAGTATTTTGTATGATATAAATATTATTATTTATGTTATGTTTTATATTACGTCGTATTTAAATTTCCCCTCCTTCAGGCCCACCCGAAATACATGACCGGCGATCGAGTGTCTGGGTTATTCCACGACATTTTGGAAATAATTACAATTAATTATACACACGCACACACAATATCCTAAAATAGTCGACGGGATTCAAAGCGCGTTCGCCGCCGCGCCGCCTTCATCCGCACATTCACTATCGTATGATTAAAATAATATATTATATTATTAAATACAGAGTGGGTAATTATTACAAGATACGTTGTATTAAAATTCGTATCCAATAATAAACGACTAGTTGGGAGATCGGGTCAATCTCGTAGCCATCGAATAATAATAATAATACTGTCCTTGACACCCCCGTCCGTACCCCGAGAACCGAACAGTAACTAGTAAGCACTGTAATATTGTTGTACTAATATAGACACACATTTATAATAATAATAATAATAATATTGTACATACTACATGGTATTATTATAAACATAACACATGATCATCGTCGTCGTCGTCGCTGCGACCATAATATTATGGTCGGCCTACACGCTTCGCGCGGAAGGTCATGGTTTCGGTCGGTCGTTCGACGTTGGCGTACTGGCAGCACTGTGCCGAATGTGCCGCCGCCCCGCCGCTGTCGGCAGTGGGCCCGGCTGCCACCTCGTCGAGGTCGTCCACAGTACTCCACACTCCACCGGCCCATTGCGCGGTACACACACCGAACGTACTCCGTCGCCGCCGCCACCGACTGCTGCGTCGTAGTGTCGTCCTCGTGACTTTTCCCCCGCGCGCGTTTCTCGTTACGTCGCCGTCGCCGTCACATATCGTCAGTAGTCAGTACTCAGTTGCGGCGCAATTAGTGTGCACTCGTGAAGCTCGCGTTCCGTAGCGTATTTCTGTCTGGTGTGTGTGGTTCTACATCCGCGATTTTATTTTGTTATTATAATGTGTACATGTATGCAGTTCAACATATTTTAAACACATACACCGCGTATAATATGTATACGATGCGTACATAATTAATATAATTATTACTTTCCGTCTTTGAACAATAGAAGCGATTTTTTTTTCATTTTAAACATTTTTATCTTTTTTCATTGTAAATATTTGTTTTCCTTCTGTGTTTAAACTCTATCGGACTCTGGTTAAAATACGTTAACCGGTTTCCTGTGTAAGTTTTTTTTAATACAAGTGTAAAAAGGAAAAACGTTCATCTTAAAAGCCATGGATTACGGTTTGGAGCCGCAGCAGAGGGCCAGGTCCAACACTTGGCCCTTGCCCAGACCAGACGCCGAGGATGGCGGGCCGCAGATACCCGAGGGTAGTCCCCCGCAGTTGTTGGACATTGTCAACGACGTGGGTGGAAACGGTGGAGGTACTGTTGGCGGCGTGCCGTCGCCGGGGTCCGGGTTGCACCCCCCGCAACAACAGCAGGGTGGTGGTATGGTCACCGGGCCGGTCAAGAAGACGTCCAGCCGGCGGAACGCTTGGGGTAACCAGTCGTACGCGGACCTCATCACGCAGGCTATCAGCTCGGTGCCGGAACAGCGTCTCACGCTGTCCCAGATCTACGAGTGGATGGTGCAGAACGTACCGTATTTCAAGGACAAGGGTGACAGCAACAGTTCGGCTGGATGGAAGGTAAGACAGTGATCTCTATCCGTCTATGGTACCGTAGCATAGTAGTATTTATATTGGTATCTTAAAAACATCTCCCCCGACTTGTCTTCACACGACACCTCCTCCCCCAACTCCGGAAAACCGGACCAGTCTGCGTAAATAATTTATCAAGTGCCTACTAAACGTCCATGTTTTTCGTTATGCCCCCCTGCTCTCTCACCGTGCCAGAAACCTTTTAAATATATTCGTTTAGAAGAAATCCGTTTAGTGACAATACTTATTAATAATTCTGAGAATAATCGACTTTGGGTCAGTGTCCTGTGCTAATCTGGACAAAAGATCGTTGTGGGGTATTACCACTACGCTTGTGTTGGTGGGGGTGGGGGGCGCCGTCTCTGTGGACCGGGTACCCCCCGCACACCTGTGTGCCGCGTGCACGTGAGGCCGTCGCTCGTCGGGTAGCTACTGAAATCGGATCGGACGGAATTAACCGAACGTATTATATTATATTATTGTAACAAAATATTAGGTATTCTAGAGTGTATTGCGACGCACGCGGAGAATTATATTGTGACCTCCACCGCAGCGTGCGTACCACGGTAGAGGTCAACCGCCGACGAACCGCGTTTTTGGCGCGCGCGTAATCGATGATAATTTATGGACCGAAAGCGACGGCGGCGCACGTGGTGGAGTGGCCAACGACGGCCGGCGTCGCTGGCGGCGGAGCAGTACCGAAGAAGTACGGAAAACCCGGGAATCGCACGCGCACGAGATGCCGCTGGCCCGGCTACGACGTGCGACTCCGGGGAGAGTCAATTTTCGGTGGGATTCGATGACTGCGCGAACTCACCGCGCCCACGGTTTTTGTGACGAGGGGAAGTGATGGAGCCGACGGCGGTGTGGCAAGCGGAGAAACGGTATCATCTCTCCGGTGCAAAGAGTACGCGGACACACGCTCGCGCGCAATATCCAACGTACACGAACGAGCATTCCACACAAACAAACTGATAAGAGGTGACCAGTGGTGCGTGCGTACTTGTGTGTGTGTGTGTGTGTGTGTGTGTGTGTGTGTGTGTGTGTGTGTGTGTAGGTACTTTAATAACACACGAGAAAAGGATCGTTGCTAATTAAAAATACTAGAAATATACGGAACGTGGTGGTAACACCCACCAACCCACCTGCGCTGTAGAGATAATCGTGTCGGAATATTATCCGATAACGCGGACCGTGGTGTTTCACAGGTGAAAGGGTCATTTCGGATAAGTACGCGATTGGATTTTATTTTTCTTTCCGTTTCCCCATCTCAATAATCCGTCGTCGTCTATTATTTATATCATTATTATTATTTTCCGTAGGTACGTTATTACTCACATCGTCATAATAATATGATGATGATACGGCTCTCGTACGTCTTTTTTCCTGACACTACCGCGCAAAATATTATTATTATTATTATTATTACGCGCACACGACTGTTTTTCTGCAAGCATCTCGTCGCATTTCCGTTTCGTGCTGATGGTGTGGCCAAGCACACGTCTAACGCCACTCCAAAGTTCTAATGTCCCTAATACGTTTCTTGCGTTTCACATGGAGTATAATAATATTATTTTATTATTGCGCTCTTCACAATAATCATTGATACTACGAAAATCCTACTTATCTTTAAAACACGAATGTCGAAAAGGTATTGAAAAAAAAATTGAAATTTATGAAGTGTCCACTCTATAATATGTAGACAACACAAGGCAAATGATTAGAAGTATAGTCACTAATTATTGTTATGTTTGATCAATTGTTCTTAATTTTTTTTTTGTATCTAAGCATTATTTGCGTTGACTGATCGGTTTTGAGGATTTACTGCACTTTGAATAGACTTAAAGCACGCGCAAGGCGATAAAAACCACCCGGAGTGATATCTTATCTCACTGTGCTCACGAGCCATAAGCAGTGATGAATATTGAAGACGACTTGAAATCGTCGGCACACCCAATTAGGCAAGTGAATTTGAATTCGCTTTAAGAAATAGTTTCAATTTCTTCTTCTCCACGATCATTCAAGGTAGGGAATTGTTTTTATTGACGAATTAGGTATTTAAAAATTGAGAAAAATCGATGCGTAAAACAACAGTTTATATTATATTGTATTAGTTTGGTTTAACGGTAGAAGCAATAAATAAGTCAAATTAACTACAATTCACAATTGGCCTACAATCACATTTTTTTACTCTCACACTCGCGATATGAAAGCTTTTTAGCTTTGAGCTGATAATATGATATGAATTAAGATGTGCCGTTATAACTATTTTTCAAGTACTAAGGCATACTTATGTTACTCATAATAAGTAGGAAGTCACGAATATGTATACATAGAAACTATATTACTGCATTGAAACCCATTTTAGCGTATAAGGTAAGTACAGAGTCGCTTTAATTTCGACATGTTTATGAGTTTAGTTGAATTACATTTTTATATTAAACATTTTGCAAATTTATTAAATATAATATTTATTACAATTTAACACTGAATATTTTATTCAAAACGCGTGTGTTGACTCCTTAGTAACACTCAAATGTTCATAGTCAACTAAACGTATTATTGTGCATATCTTTTATTTTAAGTTCGAATTTTTGCTATTTTCCCTAATACTATTATTAATTAGGTATAGTTATTATTATTTATTAAATACAATTATTGACTATTGTTGTTTGATAACCATCGTACACAAGTAATACATTTTTAGCATAGACCTAAGCCTATGCAGCTATTATGTTCCATGTCAACTATAATCGTTCAGAACATACGGACTTGACACCATTTCTAAGAGTATATTTGTATATTATACCAAATGGGTTTTTATTTATCTGACAAGACTTGTTAAATGGTATAGATACAAAAGTCTGCTATGAACGTCTGTATTGTTTCGACAGATAAATACTTTGGGTATGTGAAAACAATTTCGTAACTGTCAACAAATGTGTAAAATCGTTTTAAATTATCACATGATGTTGAATTTCTAGAATCTAATGATATTCAGATATTATATAGTACTCTGGCGTGTGCCCTCTAGTGTAGCGCGCGACCCGTGTCAGCTGTTCATCCCGTGCTATATACGTTATCAGGCGTCAGCGTCAGTGATAAATTAATATTGGATACAATTTTCCTGATCGTTGAAATTAACCACTGAAATTATAGATTGACTTGATACAGAAAATATTCCGATTAAATTAGTGAGTGAACTCGTTGAATACCATATGACTGATCAATGATAATCGTGTATAGGTTAGGACGATTAGGCACATCTTACATGTCCGCGACGATTCAAGAAATCCGGTTTTAAAAGACGTTAATCTTAGAAACACTCTGGTTCTATAAATAAAAATGTTTAAAGCCAACTTTCCCCACTTCGTTGCACACTTGGGTGTTTCCTGTTCAATAATTAATAAGTGCTGCAGTTTTCTTATTGAAAAATTGGTAGCTTTAATGTGTTCTAACAAATTCAGGATCCTCTGAAATGAAATATATTGTTTATGCCTTTAAGAAAATCAAATATAATATTTAGACGAAGGTATCCTAAATCTATTTTCATAGATTCACTTTAACTCCTAATAACCATATCAATTTACAACATATATTCAATATTACTATTGATTATAAATAGTACAACTATTTATAATCAATGATATTACGCTCTGAATTAAAGATAACTGCACGACAAGTAAACATAGAAGCCGCTAGTATGTATATTTGATTTACAGGGAATTTTTATCTATATTAATATTATAAGTTATTACTTATAGGTGATCCACTTGTTGATTGTTAAATATTATAAATTTTAGGCAGTAAAACCCAATGGAGTTTTATTTTATTACAGTTAACAAAAAAAAACACCCACGCAACCTCTAATCTCTGTCGGTGGTACTCTATTGAGCATATTAATATTAGGTAGTATGCACCGTTATCTAAATACTACGACGTCCAATGTTAGCGGCGCTTTGGTCTTTCGCTCCATCGAATGAATTCCGTTATCGGCCACCAATATTTTAATAATATTATAATAACGTCGTTGCAGTCTAGAAAATACGTTATTCAATTATAACTATTGAAGTTTGTACTAAGGTCTACTACGATCAGTTATTAAAAATAATATAATTAATAGCCATGTGTCGCCAGAATGTTTTAGCAAGGTAGTTTTAATGTATAACTAACATTTTGATACATATGTGTATAGACAAAAAGATACGACACAATGGAGTTACGATATTAAATATGAACTCGGACCGATCCAAAATATAATTTTCGGCGCCGCCTTGTATAATTCTCGGTTTTACTTTTTTTCGTTTTTTTTTCACTGAATCTCGATTTACACCATAATAATATACGAGTTACAAACCAACCACTGTCGCGTTGCCGTTCACGGGTGCATATGATAATAGCAGTGAAGTGGCAAAACAAGACTTGATCACTTTTCTACACACTAAACTACTCGTGCTTGTTTTCCGCGCGACGCGCATTGTCACTTGTTAACCAACCTCCTAAGAATATACGGTTTGATACGTCAAGGCAACCGTTATTTAGAAAATCAGAAATTAAAATTGTATTTTAAAAATATTGTAGTATTATTTAAGTAGGGTTGGGACACCATCGTAAAATAACGCAAAACACGCTGTAGAGGACGATTTATTTTAATGTAAGACACTATAAATTATTATAAAATAATATCATAAACATCAATTACCGTCTGTTATCGTGTATAAACTGTTGTCAACTCGTTGACAAGGCAGCATCGATACCCATAATTTATATGGCTTCATGTGAATCTTGGTGATATGTAACCGAAATGCTCGACTGCTCGAGGGATGAGATTCGATGTTACATTTGGTATTTTGGAACGTTGTCGGTATTTTGACGAACATCGAAATGTTTTGTGTGAAATAGTTGCGCTGGGGACCACGGACACGTGCTCCGAACGTGTGCAAATCCTTCTACAACATACATGCAGTATGGTGTATAACAACAATTAA